TATAATTTCAGAGCTGAACAACAGAGAAATTTCTAAAATCATAACATTTTAGTAACATTTATTACCATTTTATTTTAACATTTTTTACATAAACCGCGTGGAGCGGTTTATATAGCGTCATACAAGGAACCGCTCGACCAATCAGATTGCTGGAAACTCTTTGCTCAGCTCTGGAATTATATTAATATGTCATATAAACATGTTGGATTGCTTTCGACAGAGCGCGTGTTGTTATAGGTATAATTTTTGGAACGAAAAAGTCAACTCTTCAGATCGGTTTCTTTTTTATCCAATGGTGCAATGGAGAAAAGAAAGAAGAGAAAAATCACGATCGCACAGCTAGAAGGTAAATTGATGTTAACTTTGACTTACGGTTTTTTCTTGTTAAAACCAGCAATCTTTTGGCAAAATTTAATTTCATGAACTCCACATTCTACTCGCACCTTTAAGCGGCTGTCAGAGTCCAGCGATCGAGCAAAACTGAAAAAGTCATCAGAGGCTACCATTATATTTTGATAAACCTTTCCTAATTAACACTCAGTGAAACAATTATCTTTATGATCGTGCAAAGCTCGGGGAAGAACATTTTAGGTCAGAGGATAGTGTTAATGAGAAGGATGATTTGCGTGAAGAAGCAAGGGAACTGAGGCTGTTTGCTAAAGAATTTGGACAAGGCGTGCGACAGCAAAGAGTGAGAGACAGGACGAAAGAAAAGGCAGGAACTCCCCCTCTGGCCCTACGCGTGATCCGAGTTCGAAGTCAAACTGAAAATGGTGTTGACATGCTCGAAGAGCTGCAAGCCTTAGACGCAGCACAACCTGAAAGAGCACAGATCGATTGAAACTCGTCCATTTCGTTTTGCAAAGGGAGATTTACTTGCCCTAAAACACAACTGGAAACGTTATTTGGACCCCTTTTTCCTAGCTATTCTTCGGGAGGACCTTGACTGCAGTAATGATGGCATCTTTGAGCGCATCATGCATAGTAACTGGCTTGAGCGGTCAGAGGAAGATCCGTTAGTATATGCTGTAGGCAATGAAGACAACAACACCCCTCAGTGTATTTTAGATAATGCAACGTTGGTTCAGGATGGTGAGAAATTTTTCCAAAATATAAGTCGAAACGAGGAGCAACGCCTAAAAAACTTGGCTAACGGGTCCGACGAGGATGATTACGAGAGCAGTGGTGAGGAGGAAACTGATGGTGACAACCGTGAAGACGATAATGATCAACCGACGCGTTTCGAAGCTGGACGCAGTAGATCCGGTAGGAGAGTGACACGATTTGTGTTTTAACAAGCTCACAATAAAATCCCGGGCATTTCTAGGGTCAAACTTTGCTCAAGTTTTCTCGATAGATACATTTCAATAGATTTCTTACAAAGAAGACAATGTAGAGTCACGCGTTGAAGACCAAGTTTGAAGCATGACCAAACGATGTTTTTTTAAACGAATGGTCAAGAAAGGTTACTGCGATAAATACGTTTTATTCCAATGTTGGTTATGAAAATGACCTTTTTAAAAAGTTAATGAGGCTAATATTAACGTCAATTTCAAGCCTTCTTTTTTGGTCAGGCGGATGGAGTCGAAAGGTATCAGATCTTTGCGGAAAATTTGTTTCCCTAAAAAATTTCAGGAATTGTATAGTATCGCACTAGTTTGTTTTGAATTTAGGGTAATTAACCTTATAGTTAAATTTAAGCAAAATCAAGAATGTTTACGCGTGTCAACGAAGTGTCGGACCCTTCGATGATGATTGTGAAAGGTTATATTCTACAATGGTAACGATGAACAAAAGAGGTGGAGATCGAGTTAATTCAGGTCACGCTAGGATCCTATTAATATTTTTATAGTCTAATAACGTCGCATTGGCGCAATCAAGAGAAAATTCCCTGGGATGAACAAAATTTTGCGGGATCAGGGATCAAAATTCTCATTACTTTTGGAATCAGGGATCAAAAATTTGGGTGAAATTACGGGAAAATTATGAAAAAATATACCTCGTTACGACCCTGAGAAGTTCAAAATCATCAAAGCACATCAAAACTGTAATCTCCACATTTAAAGGCCTACAATGTATTTATTACAAAATAGAGTTTGAATTAAATCCCACATACTGAAACCATTCCAACATTATCTGGAAATGTATCCAGTAGAATGGAAAGTCCTGAGGTTTCAACTGCAGCCCCTCCAATGGCAGATGTTACTCTTAACACAAAACAAACAACTATGAATGCATCTCGATCTGCAATCATGTCACAAAATCTGAAAGATACAAAAGCCATAGATACTTCTTTGTTTAAAAGGCCTTGAAGATCCTATAGGAGCAAGTTAGATCTTTTTAACCTCTTACTTTTCACACTTGATTTCCAAGACTATTCCAACATGGCTGTCTTGAACATTACTCAGCATTTACTTGCTCAAGTCTTGCCCAGTTGATCAAGCCATTGCACTAGTGCTTAGTCTGAGAGCTAGCCTTTTTTTTAGTACTTCCCAGATTGACCAAAGAGGAATCTTTCTTTGCAGTATAAATACAAGTGATGAGGAGAAAGAAAGATGGCAACTAAAGGATGAATTGAGTGATTAAATACACTTAAATTCAGAGTTTTTGCTCACCCAAAAAAAAACGTTGATCCTCCACAAAGAACAATTCCTGAATAGAGTACAAAACTAGGACCATATTTTGGTATCTGTAAGTGATAGAAATTGCTCGTCAGTAAATGATTGTGAAAAAGCTCGGAATACAATTGTTAATTCAAGCATAAAACCACTCATAATCAAATTGCGGCCATGTGGTTCTCATATGTTATTGTTTTAACTCTTTACGCTCGAACATCAGTATCCACATCCTCTGTACAAGGAAACGCTATTTCTATTGCCACTTTATTAATAACTTTTTAAGCTTAAACAACAACCCCCCTTCCCGATTAAGCTCCCCCCCCCCTTACAATAAGCCAAAATTTTCAATAAGCGCCCAAAATTTCCAATAAGCGCCCCGGAGCTAATATTCAAGGAAATATGGTAACAAATATGGTGGAGTATCGAATCTGGAAAAGGGGATGGTAAATATACAAATAAATGATTCAAATATTCAAGCCACCATGAATACCCTTCAGAGTCAAATACTTACCAGAACTCCACAAAATGGAGAAAAGATGAAAATCACAAATGAATAACTTCCAAAGAGTAAACCCACTATAGTTCCAGATACGCCTTTATCCCTTGCCTTTCAGGTCAACAAAAGACAAAAAAACAATGACATGGTAAATCACAAAACTTATGAAACAAAATGTAAAAATGGCATTGGAACAAAAATCAATCTTTCTAAGGCTCTAGATTCAATAATTGATTGGAAAAATATGCACTATAACCATCCTCAGACCCTTATTAAGCTCCCACTTTTGCTAGTTGAACCGTTTGCCCCACCCCTCTCCCCTCAAACCTCCTACCACGATGCTGTTCTGCTAGTTTAACCCTTTGCCCCACCCCTCTCCCCTCAAACCTCCCACCACAGTGCTGTTCTGCTAGTTTAACCTTTTGCCCCACCCCTTTTCCCTTAAACCTCCTACCACAGTGTTGTTCTGCTAGTTTAACCCTTTGCCCCACCCCTCTCCGGTCAAAGCTCCTACCACGGTGCTGTTCCAGCGAGGTGAGCCTTTTGTCTGAGTGTAGAGTCTTTTCTTTATTTTTGCAGGAGGGATATTGAAGCTAAATGTGAAAGATATTCTTTCTACCATATTCCTCCTACACCCACACTACCTTATCCAGGAGACAGATTCAAATGCTTGGAAGCTAAAGATCTTTACAGGCCAGAGAAGTCCTCTATTTCATTATTTTTGGTAAAATGAGAAAATAAAATTGATCCAAATGGACTAACTTTTCATAGAAGGACCAATGATTGTTACTATCAATAGCAATTACATCATCATTATTTATTATCTTTATTATACCCAAGGGCTCTTTTGCCCTCTTTTGAATTACGCTTCTTGGTGATCAGATAACAAAAAGTTAAAAAAAAACATCCCACATGATGTTAATTTCAAGCCGAAAATTTACAACCTTTAAACAAATTACAAAAGACAAAAGAATAACTTGCTGTTATTCGCTGATTCAAATGGTAAAAAGTTTTCTCTTCGATGAAAAAAAAACTTTCCTCAAAATTTCCATAATGTACAGATCACACCTATTTAGATATTTCTGCACGATTATTTGTTTTCAGTTACGCGCTGGATTTGCTACTGTGAAATTATGATATATGTATCACCTTTTGTAGAATCATGGCAAGAACAGAATCATATCTTCGAATCTACTGAGCATAATTTTCTTATTCAAACGGTAAAATGCCCCCTCTTCGAAAAAAAAAAAAAAAGCTCCAATTTTTCATGATGCGCAGATCAAACCTGTAAGGCCCCGTGCAAATGCACAAGATTTGTCCACTGTACAAGCTCTCGACAGGTTGAGTGTTTTGTTGAGGTGTTGTTGAGTGTGGTGTTCAAATGATCTCAACAATGATGTTGAGCATTCCGAAGATTTCACAAAGGCTCATGGCAGGGGTTTCAATAACATTTCAGGTGGGCAGCTGGTTAGTGAGAGTAACCGACCGTACCAAGAAGGGACCATTAGGCCCCTTAATCTTGGAGGGTCTCGGGGCATGCCCCCCCCCCCCAAAAAAAAATTTTTGACATCTGGAAGCTCTGAAATGCCCTTTCTGGAGTTCTGGAGACCAAATTGAGTGCAAAAGATAAAGTTGTAGTCAGTGCTTTCAATAAGCACCGACGGCCGACGAAAAGCGTCGGCTACTTCACTCAGAGAAGTCGGCTACATTTTCATTTTCCCTAAATTTAAATAATTAAAGAAGGCTTCTTGAAAACTAAATTCAAATTCATTTTGATGGGCTTGTATCAACTTTTTACCTCAATTTCAAAATTAAATAATTATCAAAAGATCGGACGCGACTCGTTGGTCACGGCACTCGACTCGTTTTGGGGTGGTGTTAGGACGAGAGAGGTTTACGAAAAACTTAACTGCGTGCAAAGTATGTAATCTACGGTGGCCCACAACTGTCACGGCAAAACAGAAAGTCACGGCACTACAAACTTTACTCACGGCAAAACAAAATTAACGTGGCCCACAACTGTCAGGTTTTCGGAGGTTGTTCCATAAACGAAAACCGGCAAGGAAAACGACGGCTCGAAGCAACGGAATAGGAAATCAACCATGCGATCAACTCAAAATCTGTGTTTCCGCGGCAAAACCTAGCGCATGCGTATGCGTTATTCAGCTCTGTCTTGTTACACACCATTTCAAATGCAAATAGCAACCGCTGACCAACTCGTTTTGTCTGTTATGCCGTGAGTTAATTTTGTTTTGCCGTGAATTAATTTTGTTTTGCCGTGAATTAATTTTGTTTTACCGTGAATTAGTGGTGTTTTCCGTGAGTTAATTTCGTTTTGGCGTGTTCATTTTGTTTTTCCGAGAGTAAAGTTTGTAGTGCCGTGACCTTTTGTTTTGCCGTGACAGTTGTGGACCACCGTAGATTACATACTTTGCACGCAGTTAAGTTTTCCGTAAACTTCTCGCGTCCTAACCCCACCCCAAAACGAGTCGAGTGCCGTGACCAACGAGTCGCGTCCGATCTTTTGACAATTATTTAATTTTGAAATTGAGGTTAAAAGTTGATACAAGCCCATCAAAATGAATTTTAATTTAGTTTTCAAAGAATCTTTCTTTAATTATTTAAATTTAGGGAAAATGTAGCCGACTTCTCTGAGTGAAGTAGCCGACGCTTCTCGTCAGCCGTCGGTGCTTATTGAAAGCACTGCCTGGGATAACATATCCCGCAATTTCTTTGACCTTATTTTGTTAAGTTCTCGGTCAAGCTGAGATCGACGGCCAAACATCTTTGTCTTAATATCTGCTACCTCAATGTCTAGTTCGTCACTCATATCACTGAGTGCTTTCTCTCTCCTGTTTCTTAAATGGTATTCTTTCGTGCTAACGTCCCATAAGCATGTATTTTTCTCCAACAAATCAATCAGCTTTTCCGTTTCTTCCTCCGTCCATTTTTCTTGTATTTCCTCTTTTAGAATTTTTTGCATTTGAACTTTCCTGTAGAACTTCTAACTGCTACGACGCCATCTTGTAAAATGCTCGGTATGTTGAAACTCCCAATGGATACGCTGGGCACTGCGCGTGCGTGGGCTCAACATGTTGAGCGTTGCTGTACAAATGCACTCGACTTTGTTGAGCCACGCATGGATGACAGCGAAACAAAGGAAATGTTGAGCCGTGTTGAGCGAAAAGTTTGACCAGTTTCAAATTTGATTCAACAAGACTCAACACCGCTCAACAGGGTGTTCAAATGCGCTCAACTTGTTGAGCTCAACATGTTGAGAGCGTGTACAGTGGACAAATCTAATGCATTTGCACGGGGCTTAAGGATATTTCTGCAAGGATAAATTTTTATTTTTAATCACGCGCAATCCTGATATGATTGTGGGATGTTTATCATCTTCTACTGTCTTCTGTAGTGTGATTGTCACGTAAGAGCTGGAAACACGATGCACTAGTAATTATAAGCCAGAAATTAAAAGAGGAGAAAACTCAAATGTGTATCGAGTGCTGTTTTGTTAAACTTAGTCCGTGGTGTTTTTCCTTTTTTCTTGCTTTTTTTTTGGTTACGTTACGTTTCAGTACATATACACGAGTTAGAGTTTGGTCACATGTTTTTTGGACTGTAGCTTCTCACACGTGTTCCTATCGACGAGCTCTTGCGGGCTGTAAACTCTTCTTTTAATCGTTTGGTTCGCCCAAAATGTAAGTAGGGTTTCGATTGACGGTTGTTTTAGGTATTCATTTTGTTTATTCGTCTTCTTGTCAGTTTTCTTTCTCAGTTTTCACCGTCTTGTAACCGATTTTTCGTGACATGTTCATACTATCAATTGTGATGGTCGAAAGTTAAAGGAATATTACAGATAACGCGTCGAAGTTTTGTGCTATCCCCAACACAGTGAAAATTTTTTTGTCCAACCAAGAGTAATTTGTTGAAGACAGTCCCTCTACCCGAATTTATTGAAGAATGATCGCTTCGAGTGCAATTGATATATAGGAGGAGTGGATCACAGGATCGTGGATCGAGGAATAGACCAAGTTGATTCAGGTTTGGAAAAAAAATCAAATGAACCCTGGAATGAGCCTGTCGGTTAAAGCCAACCAAGATTTTCCCCTGGATATTGGAGTCACAGCCTTTTCAATGCGGTCTGCGGATCTTAACCCACCATCAGCGCTAGAAGCATTTGGATACTCGCTACGCCCGGACCCCCCTGCCAAATAAACAAATCGATTTCAGTGAAGTTTTGCGGCAAAAGGGCATAAGTGAACAACATCGACTAGCGAACTCGTGGAACAAAGTTGCTAGATACGTCGCTGCCGAAACACAACAACTGCGTACTTGTCTTTACACAAATTGGGAACCCTCATCCGCCCGGAAAATGGTAGAGAGTTTAACCCTTGCCTAGAATTCCTTCGAAGCTTTTTATGCAAAGTACGTTCCAGGAATTAATGAAAGGAAACGTCTTCAAGAAGTAGGAGCAAGATTCGAGTCCCTCAAAGAGACAATGAAAATGCTAATCGAAGAATGTGAAAGGCAAATGCAGTCAGATCGAGAAACCCAGAAGCACGAAGATGAAATCTCTATAAAGAGTGGAAAAACACACCGGAGTTCTGTGTCTTCAAAGGCCTCTTCATCGTCTAGAAAGGAAAAGTTACGTGAAGCTCTGTTAGCCAAGAAGAAGCTGGAGCTCGCGAAGCGAAGAGCTGAAGAGGAGGCCGAGTTAGCTAAACAAAATGCAAAAAATGAACTGAGGCGTTCAGAGGATGAGGCAACTTTAGCCGAGCTAGATTGGAAAATCGAAAGGGATTACGATGAAGGAACTGGTCTACTGGGCGCCAATAATGAGGTTCCTCCAAATTATGGGACTGATAAACTTCCATTCCAACACAGCCGTAAACCTGCTCTTGAAGAGTCGGAGCCAAGTAGGCTGGACATCTCTAAAAGGCGATGTAAGACAATGCCATATGTTACACCAGTAGATTACTCCACTCCCTTCGACAAGGTACCAGTACATATTTCCCCTATGCGCGAAAATAAGGAAGACCGGCTACCAGTTACCAACTCCTGTCTCTCTTGCCATGAAGACCTAAACTCCTTTCAGTGCAAGCCTAAGT